TATTTATATCCCAGGAGCGAATCCTCGGGAAGATTACTTAAAAATGCGTTCTCCCTTGTCAAAAGAAGGTGTCGAAGAGCAGCTAGCTCGAGTTTATTAAGTTTGATTTTGTAAATAAATCTTTTCTTGTTTTGAACATCAAGCTCGCAAATGGACGTGTAGAGAGGAAAGTGATCGCTGCCCCATAGATCCTCCTCCCTTCTCAGGAGGCACATAGGAGCAAGTGAAGGGGAAGCAATTGCCAAATCTATGGAAGAGAAGGTACCATGTGACAGACTAAGAAAGGTGCGTTCCTTACTGTTTAAAACTATGAATCCGTATTCGTCGAGCGCATCTAAGATTCGCCTTCCAGCGCAGTCGGAGCGGTCACTACCCCAGGCCCTGTGATGGGCATTAAAATCTCCCAAAATAAGGGCAAATTTGAATCGAGCCAAGTATCTGAAGAGTTCTTTAAAGTATCCGAGAGGGGAGTCAGATCCAGTATGCCTGTAAATATTAATAACGATAATGCTATCTTTGCCAGTACATACTTCAATTCCCATTACCTTGCAAGATGGGTGAACGGGAATATCCGTGAGAGTTTTGATGATTTTTAAAGAATTTCGAACGGCGATAGCAATGCCACTTTCTCCAGGAATATTAATATCATTTCTGATGAGGGAAAATCCTGGAATGTGAAAGTAAATTGAGTCTACCAAGAGAGTTTCTTGAAAACAGAAAATATCACCTTTGTCAATTAAAATCGAGATCTCAGGGCTGCGAGCTCGGACGCCCCTGCAATTCCATTGCCAAATTCTAAGGCCAGCGTGAGATTTAGTCTTCGCAGTGAAGGCTGCGATCAGGTATCGGAGCCATGTAACCAGGCCGGAAAAATCTAGAATCGTGAGCAGGCGGGCATTCGGCACGTGACTGTTGTCTCTGTGTAAGGGCGAGGAAATTCTGAAGTGGAGAAATTAAATTGTTCAAGTTATTGAGTTGGGCAATGATCCAGCTAATGGTGTCGTGTAGCGAAGAGTCAGCAAGGACCTGATACGCCGATCCCGACGTGGGAGGGTACGCAAGGCCCCCACCACCGTTGTTCAGCCTCCCATTAGGAGCCAACAACAAGTCAGCATGCTCCCCCGAGAAGGGAGCCCTGGAGAAAGAGGGAGGGGAGGAGGGAGAAGAGTTACCTCCAACCTCGCCCCCCGCTACTGGCTGTGGTACGTGGGCGCGGTGGAAGGGAAAGGAAGAGGAATAAGAATGTTCGGAGGAGACACGACGGCCCGCCCCGGAAGCATCCGGGGAGGTCCGCGCCCCCCGCGAAGCCACCGACGCATAGCTGGAATGGGGACGAACGTCCATCCCCACCCCCGCCGACGGGGGAGCACCCGACATAAAATTGGCGTTCGAGTTCGAAGATCGACCCTTGAGAAGGGGAAAATTGACAAAATCATACCTTGTGTCCTCCAAACCAAGCGGGGAGATCCCCGAAGGAAAAGACGATGACGGGGAGGAGGACGGCAAGCTCCTCCTAGCCTCTGCCATTGAGATGTTTTGAGTGGCCGCAAGGGCCTGCACCTTTTTGAACTGTACCACCACCGGACATTGGTGAGACGTCGGGAGATGATCCCCCCTGCAATTGATGCAGCACGGGGTTCCTTCGCGTTCAGGGCACGCATCACCCTGATGCTTATCCTCGCCACAATGAATGCACCTGGCCTTTCCTTTACAGGAGCGACTGACGTGTCCTACTCGAAAACAAGAAAAGCAGATCTTTGTCTTAGGGATATAAGGGAAGACAGAATATCTAATATTAAATAAAAGTATTGAGTTGGGGAGGTTCTGACCAGAAAACTTAATTAAAATGGTGCGGGAGGGCTCATATTTATATTCCCCGTCAACCTTGACTCTCCTGTTGAGTCTCGATACTTCCCTAATTTTAACCGGAGACTTATTAATATTTTCTTTGATGGAGAGAAGGTCCACGTCCAAAGGGATGCCGCGAATGGTACCAGCCCTTAAGAGCCTGTAAGCAGGAATGTAAGCAAAGAGGCCCCTGGCCTCAAGCGATTTATCACTTACGATTTTGTTAGCATCGGCGACGGAGTCCATCATGATGGCCACCTGGCCTTTGCCTATGCGGGAAACTTCACCCATACCTTTCGGGAAATAGGAAGTAACAATCCTACTGATGTGAATGGGGTGCAGAGGTGGAGAGTTGGTGTCTTTAATATGAACGATGTAGGGAGGAGAGTCAACACTAGAGTATTTTTCAGGTGGAGATTTGGTCTGGGTAGCTGCTGCGGGAGGGGTTGAGGAGGAGGAGGAAGCAGAAGGAGGAGGAAGGCCGGCGACCGAAGGAGAAGAAGAAGAAGAACTGGTAGGCGGGTTAGCCGTTGCGGAGGCGGAAGAGGGAGAGATAGAGGCCGTATGCTGAGCGGAAGAGTTCACGTCACGCATCTCGCAGTCCGCAGAATCAACTGAGGCTTCGGTCGAAGTGTTGTTTTCCTTGATTAGGGCGTCAAAATTCCCTTCCGTCGGAAGAAGAGGAGTCTTTTTCTTTTTATCTCGGAAGGCTAATGCAGACGAGTTTCCATCGCCGAGGCCGGCACCTCTCTTAATGCCACGCAATTTCGAATTATTTTCCGGCAAATCGATGCCGCCATTAGATGATGCAATGTCCTCTGCGGATTGAAATGGCAGCGGGGGACGCAGGGGGGGGGGGGATCACCAGGGTCCCCCACCTCCCCGACACCGCAGGAGGCCGAGGCCTCCTGCATTAACACGACTTGCACAAAGTCAGATAAGTTCAATCGAAATCACCCGAAAACGCCGCGAGCACAAAACACGCGGCACCGGGACGCAAAACGCAACAAAAACGAACGCACGGGACAGCAGCCAATCAAACACGATCCGAACTGCTCGAGCGCCAGGCACGGAATCCGCAACTAGCAGTCCATGATTATATAGTCAAAGGTTTTAACAGTCAACTAAAAGTCGACTTAAAGTTGACTTGTATAAAGGTGCCATTTCATGCAGCGTCAAAGCGCTGGATACAGTTGTGCGGCTTCCCCCACTCCGCCTCCCTGTCTGAGCCCGAGTGAGCCGTCGACAAAAAGCCAGCGCTAAGCACCGGCTACTATTTCATGGAGCGA